AAAAAAGTGATATTTTCGACTTGTTATTAAAAAACAATAGTTCAATTGCTTTGATATTACATATATAGATACTACATGTAGAGCTTTCTTAGATTTGTTCATTTCGTGATGATATCTTCAATTCTTTAATTTTGGTGAATATTTCTGTCATTTTTTGTAAAAAGTGATATTTTCGACTTCTTGTTAAAAACTGTAAGTCCGATTGCTTTGATATTACATATATTGGTACTACATGTGGACCTCTCTCAGATTTGTTCATTTCGTGATGATATCTTCAATTCTCTAATTTTGGTGAATATTTTTGTCATTTTTGGTAAAAAGTGATATTTTCGACTTCTTGTTAGAAACCGCAAGTCCATTTGCTTTGATATTATACATATAGGTACCTCAGGTGAACATCTCTCAGATTTGTTCATTTCATAGTGATATCTTTAATTCTCTAATTTTGGTGAATATTTTTGTAATTTTTGGTAAAAAGTGATATTTTCGACTTGTTGTTAAAAAACAATAGTTTAATTGCTTTGATATTACATATATAGATACTACATGTGGACCTCTCTCAGATTTGTTCATTTCGTGATGATATCTTCAATTCTCTAATTTTGGTGAATATTTTTGTCATTTTTGGTAGAAAGTGATATTTTCGACTGATTGCTTTGATACTATACATATTGTTCATTTTCTAATGATGTCTTCAGTTTTTTAATTGAAATGTGCATTGCTAACAGCGGAGCTATCTCAGCCGATAGGCTGCTTGTTTAAAACAGTTACTGCAATTTCTTTGATACTTGGCACATGTGTACCTTTGTAGATTTGAATGCTATGTGACGATATAATTCTGTAATTTTTGAGAACATTTTTGGTCAAATATTCTATTAGACTTCTTCTAGATACTTGGTATATATGTACATGTACCTTGGTTGAACCTCTATTAGATTAGATCATTCGACATACATTCATGGTGCTTCTTTGACGAATCTCTTCTTTCTAGATGATGACATAGATGGTATCAACCAATGGGACACTGTTTGTCGGGGTGACGCCTCTAAGCGGTCGGAAATCCTCCTACATCTTGACACGTTTGAAGCAACTAGGGGAGCTGCACTGAGGTAAGCCCCTCGCCATTCTCTCAGTAACCAATATGTTATACGACAGTCACTGATTATGGGTGTGCACCGAGGTAAGCCTCTCATTGCCTAATGAAAGGTATTTTCCCCGTAAGCAAAACTAAAAGGAAATATTATACAAGTTATGTATACATAGAAATACAATTGTTTGCTCACTTTAAACACAAGGTATGCTTCTCAAAACTATAGTGGCTGGATTGGCAACCTGGCAAGTTTACCATGTTGGGTAGTATGTTGGATTTATGCACGAGACTTTTATGTACTCTCTAACTGTTCTCCAAAACTCAGTCTTGATTGATCGTATTGATGAACAATTAAATGTATTTCATTTTGGGAAGCTATATTCCCAATTTGCATAGTTCGGTCAAAACGTTACGAAATTGTTATATCCGATTCACAAAATTAAGATGATGCTAATGCCGAGCAGTCGATTACAAAACTGATGAAATCCGAATCCCCCAGTATATATACGTATCCGGCGGCTAACACAATATTGAGGACAACTGCTGAGAAAAAGCTAGCCAAAAATCATATAGGATATTTGCATACATACAATCATGAAATCATTTATCATATGGCTTTGGAAATTTGATTGTGACAAAAACAAGATTATGTTTCTTAAAAAAATACGTTTAGAACAAATGTGATAAAATCCCACCAGAGTATTGTAATGTGGTTCATATATACAATTGGTCGGCTACTTGAAAATCGCGTTGTATATTGCAAGGTAACCTTCGACCTGCAGATATAACCCGATTTTCATGTAGCGGAGCAATTGTTTTACAAATGCCGGATCAATTTTCAAGTAGCCGACCGACTTTTTTAATTAGTGGAGCGATATTCAAGTAGCTGACGGATTTTCATGTAGCGAACCAATATATGGGCCACCTTAAAGTCGTATAACTACATCTTTATTGAGAACATTAGTTAATTCCAATTGTGTACAACACTGACGTGTTATTTGTTATATATTGAACTGGTTTGGGTGGATATTTGTCATAAATAAACAACGTTCAATCTTTTTTCTAGTCCAATCTGAAACAATCAGTGTACATTTTTACCTTTCCACCAGGAAAATTACTTTTATACAAATAATTATTTTGCATTGACTCTTCAATAACAATAAATTGGACATTTAAAAAAAAAATAAACTCACCAGAGTCATGTTCATATATCGTATCTTCGTTCTACATGTTGTGGTATGTAAAGTCGTATGTTACGTCATAGCATGTGTTGTATCACGTGTGTTGCGTATTATATCATGTGTCGTATCCTCATTATTGCATGACATTATAGAATTAATTAAAGCCACGTCATACGTGCCACAACAAAAGCTCACAATTTCATGTATTACTTTTGTAGGATGAATGACTATAAATACATAGAGGGCATCACTGAACTTGTTCCGCAGCGAGTTGAAGCTCACGAAAGATTTCATTTGGGTGAGTCACCTGTCTAATATCGGATAAATTATCTCACATTTTCACGTGCTCAACGCGGGAAAGTATGTAAATTATGAAATATGTAAATCCAGTATATCCTATACATTTATGTTCCCCAGATCAATGGTATGTTCCTGCCGAACACCCAGATGCCCCTATACCAGATGCACCGCTGATATCACAAAATGTTAACAATACATTCCTGTTCAACCTTAGAGGTATGATGACGTTATGGTCATGTTTTTACCTACACGGCGACATCACACACACGTCATTTTTGATTTGTTTAAACGTAATCAAATCGTTAATCAACCAACATTAATTGTTACAAAACTTAGCTGATGATGTGCAAGTCTAGTTTATTTGCTCATATCGCGTCTTTCGAGCAGATTGTTCACATTAGACGCGAAAACGAATTAATGTATTTTTTCCGACGCTATAACATGCTTTCATTGATCATGCATTATAGTAACTGTGCGTGTGGTTTTACGTGTCTGGTTTGTAACAATTTACAGTATGGTGTTATTATTACATTAAAACGCGTGGTATATAATTGATATGTAAGCACGTCTCTCATGCCCAAGTAACACACTTCGATATTCCCATTTTCAGATGACCCACTAGAGACTACCAACCTTGCTACCGATCCTGAAATGCAGGACATTTTAGAGGAAATGCAGGCACGCCTACAATATTACAAAGACAACGCAGCCCCGTTATGGTATCCTGAAAATATAGATGAAAGTGACCCTAAGTACTTTGATGGTGCTTGGACACCGGGATGGTGTTAGGGCTTCATCGAAATAGACGTGTCAGAATCATATTGAGTTGTCGTTGGCTTATGACATGAATTAGCATACCACCAACCAAACAATTACATATCACTAGCAGAAAATTTGCATACCACCAGCAAAAAAAAAATACATATCACTAGCAGAAAATTTGCATACCACCAGCAAAAAAAATACATATGACTAGCAGAAAATTTGCATACCACCAGCAAAAAAATACATATCACTAGCAGAAAATTTGCATACCACCAGCAAAAAAATACATATCACTAGCAGAAAATTTGCATACCACCAGCAAAAAAAAATACATATCACTAGCAGAAAATTTGCATACCACCAGCAAAAAAAATACATATCACTAGCAGAAAATTTGCATACCACCAGCATAAAAAATACATATCACTAGCAGAAAATTTGCATACCACCAGCAAAAAAATACATATCACTAGCAGAAAATTTGCATACCACCAGCAAAAAAAAAATACATATCACTAGCAGAAAGTTTGTATACCACCAGAAAATCACAATGCTGATATTGCTCATTATGTACACACCCCAAGGAAAGAAACTTTGTTATGCATTCTTTCAGTAAAATACTCCTTGATAATGTTCCAAAATACGCCATTATGAACACGTCTATTGTGCAAACGTGCTTCATAATTACACGGCGCTAAATAAGAAAGACTTGTATCATAAAAACACGATTTCTTGACGAGATTTAAACATCCCTGGTGTATCTTACTAGTCAGTAATTGTTTGACAGTGTCTGCAGACGTACAATACTATTTTCAGGGAAAGACTATTACTGATGAAGTCGAGACCGTCTTCCTATATCGCCACGTCTTATAAAAGCACTCAACTTTATCATAATATCACGTCATCTGACTAACCTTGGGTTTTCACTTTTAACTATCTACACGGGATGAATTTTTTAACAGTTTTTTTAATTCATTTCATATGTTTTATCTATGCTAAGTATCTGTTCATGTATATTTTACAATACTAATTTACACTTGTCTTTTAAAATAAATCTTGACCAATAATAACAATATCTTGTAATTTAAAATGAGTTCCAGAGATGTGACCGTATTCCACTGATGATATAGACACACACCCACCCACCCATGCTTTAGTTTTGCAAATGTGTATTCGAATATGATACCATATTTAATGATATTCTGGAAAACTAATGCAGCATCCTTGGGCGTGCATAATGATACGCACTGGGCCCAGTATTGCTATTGAGACCGAATCGCATCGGTTTGTGTTCAAGACATTACTACGCACGACTGAGTAGCTTGTGAAAAATACCTTATTAAGTCTACGTTTGATATATCTGTACGAATATAAACCGCCTCTGTACGAATTCGTGAATAGCTGTCCATTAAAAAATGATATTATTCAGTTTTATTTCATATAGCGTATCTATTGTGTTGTACAATGAAAGATGCGTCTTGTAAAATGCACGTTACACATAAAGCAACACGAGTGCATTAGAATATTTAAATAAGAATGCGAGCGAAATAAGAATGCGAAATTTCGTATTAATGTGAGGTTATTACGAGGATAACCTTATTATACGTCTTTTCGGGAATGCCAAAATCCAAAAAAATTTAGACCTGAATCGGCGAACTTCTTTGCGTGGAGTCCGGTCGAACTCCGGTGGCAACCATGTTGCTTTTATTATTAGAGGACGCTTACGTGCGTAATCATTCCATATTTTGAATTCGCATTTCCTTGTATGGTAGAATGAAAATAACCCCGTGATATACCACAAAATTACGGCACGCTGCAACTTATGGCGTTACGGTGACAGATGTATAATAATAGTTTTGATCCAACGGCATACAATTGTCTGATAATATAGTTGATGGCGTATTTTGAGCACGCTGTTGAACATAATTCATTAAGTCTGTTCAACCAAATTCAAATTTGCATATATTTGCATTGCAATACATTAGAGAAATTACAATTAGAAATGTAGTTTTGTTTCGAGTAACTGTATCGAGGATTATTGATTTGTTCAAGAAATTTACATTTAGTTAATTTGCCTGGAAATGAGGTACATCGACATTATGTGCCGGTGTTATAATTACAAGTAAAATTATACAACTTGCAGTTTTGTCACTATTGTTTGCTTACGCTATTTATTGAACCACAGTGGAATTATGTATTATGTTTGTTAGTCTAGTTAATTATGAAGTGTGTGCGTAGAGGGCGCCTAACTGTATATAATTAAATATGCTGAATGTAAGTGAAATTACTTTCTAGATTAAACCACCATCCCCTGGGGGTGATTAAACAATGTAACACGACTTTTAGGTTCGTCCGATAACTGGAAGTGTTCGTACAACTTTGATTAAGAAAGTGCTCTTCCTTAGTTCTAAATAGTACCCATTTACAAGTTCCTTTTTTTCTCAACTTACCCATTCACCGTGTAAGTACTATTTACGGTTGTTCTAGGTTGATCTCACCTGAATTCAGACTAAGTCTAAGAGATTAATTTATTTTTAAAGTTTAAAAGAAATAAAAATATCGCGAAATGGAGGTGTTAAGGCGAAATCCCCTGTAACCTAACCGCGTATCGCGTTGGCCCCAAATTTTACAAAACTATTTTTTTTTCTCAAGTATTTTTTATTATAATTTAACTGAAAAAAAAATCACCACAGCTTGTCCAGTCTAACCTGACTCTAGTGGGGAGTATAACGTTTCCCCCACTATTTACAAATGTGTGGGGAAGCAACACCATGGATTCGAACCAACTGTTTCAATATAGACAGGCTGTGTCGATGAAAGGTTCTATGCAGAAGGAGTTGTGTAACACGTGTGCTGACACGCAACCCGCGATGGGGCTCAGAAAAACCGCCCAACATTCGCAGTGTTACTTCTTTAAAGTACGACAACTCAGAGATAAACGTAGGTAAAAAGACCTGTGTGGGGTCAAGGTTCTGTCGTGAATTTGTTTTTGCGTATCTGTTGACCGACTTTATTAGTTGATTATTAGCTGAATTGCTGTGTTATGTCTGCCATCGTTTAGGCCTATTTGAAGTTTTGGACGGAACTTGGCTCAGTGATTTGGAACTAATTACGATATATCCGTCGCTATTCTGACAGTTGGTATTCTAGTTATTAATGTAGTGAACGATTAATCAAAAGATATGACGTATTCAGTGCTTAGTGTGATTGGCTTTATGATTGAAGGTTACGCCCTAGAGTCTTTTTACTGTTTTGTAATTGGTTAGAGTTTTGAAAATGAATAAAGAGAGTTTGAGTTGGTCTTGGGGAGCACAGCACGATAGACGAGAGAGAGAGGCAGTCCTGGAGAGTCAGAGTCTAGAGCAGTCCTGGAGAGCCTTGGGGCGAGTGTTGACGCAGTCTAAGAGAGTCTTGGGTCAGCCTTGCGACAGTCTTGGGGATTTTTCCCCAGGGCGCCGTGTCTTATAGAGTGCTCGATTGACCGACTAAGACGAGAGCTGAAACGTATTCCGTTGTGTGTGTGTCTTATTTGACTGTAAAGTATAAGTGACTTCCCCGATCCCGTACCTCAAGGGGACGAGAGAGAGAGAGAGACGAGACGAGATTCCCCCCTGGCACGTGTGGAGAACCCAGAGAGAAGATTTTACCCCTGATAGTTCTAGTAAACTTGCTTCAGACGTTTACTAGAACCTCGACCCCAAACAGTTACTACCATCTTTGTAGCTGTCCTTTAACTATCAGTTAACTACAACCTGACGACTAACCTTCAAAATGTCAAACTATATTGGTGAAATATATGTGTACTTTATAGTATTTGATCTTCATTTTGTATGACTTAACGTATTGCATCAAATTGATATTTTACGGCCATTTGGAGATTGAAAACATTTGGTCGGAAAATTTTACCAGAATGAAAACAAAAAGCATTTTTTCTCAAAAATGGACACATCTAACAAAACACAACAATGAGTAAATGTGGTAATGTTGGAACCATTCGTATTAATAACTTCAAATATTTATTTTGTCTGAATATATCATTGATTTGTGAGTTGTAATTGCCTTGTAGCTTTCAAGTCATGTCCCATAACACAAAACATATCCTTTAGACGAGTGAATGTCAGTCAAACTTGGAAAAACTTTGTTTTTCTGAAATTTAATTGGGGATTCGAGTTTATTAATCTGTGGTTTCACAGAAGACATCTTTGATGAGGAAAGCAGTTCGAAATATGCCGTAAATGTACGTGACCATCAGATGAAGTCATTCACTAATATAATGAAAGCGAGAAAGGGTATAAGATGAATCCAGACTACGTGGAATATAAAGCAGAACAAAATGTTAGATGGAGTCGAAATATGCCGTAAATGTACGTGACCATCAGATGAAGTCATTCACTAATATAATGAAAGCGAGAAAGGGTATAAGATGAATCCAGACTACGTGGAATATAAAGCAGAACAAAATGTTAGATGGAGTCCTGCAACGAAGCGTTATGATTGGTTGAGAATTAATATCACAGCATACATTACAAAACACATGTTAATATTGTACCTTATTCAGTAATACATGATGACAATAGGAGAACACATCATTTTAAGTACACGTGTGCCCAGCATGAAGCGCCCACATCTTTCGCATGGCTCTTTTCAAGACGCAACACGTACTTTTTTTGTCAATCACAAAACATCCATAGTTTTAATAATCACAATATTCATCTGTACGAATCCTCTTCGTCCCACTCTGTGCTTATTCAATCGTTATATTACATGAATAATATTACAAAGCAATAAACTATTTGTATATTAATACTATGATATTATTGTGAAAAGCGGTGCTATTTATTCCAAAAATACTTACAGTAAGCACACGCCCAGTCAGCAGTATATATTGATAAATAAATATGTTTTCTGGTATGTATTGTGTGTGTTTTTTTCATATTATTATGAAGTTTGAATCTGCATTGTTGTTATTATTCTAGTAACACCTGCGATGAAATTACACATTAAAAAGCGCGACTACTACGCACATCTTTCTGTTCCTGCCTTATATCATCATAGAAGTAAGAAGCAAAATAGCAGTCTGTACGGAGAGAAAATTTGTTTTTCCCGATATAAATCGTATCCTGTTGGTCGTAACAAGAAGCTACACCAAACGGATATACTATTTCCAAGGTAATATAAGTTTTAGTTTTACCGCTTGCATCGTAGATGTATCTATAATTCATGCGATTGCCGAACAATATAGCCAAGAACAACTGAGAGAAACGTTACTTCTCAAAACTGTTTCACGTGTTGTCTCCACTTTAGTCGCAACTGTTTTTTTCTATTGGTTTTAAAACTCCTTGTCTCCTTTAGTTGAAATACTATTCTGATGTTAACGCAAGACTAACGTGTAGGCTAATAACACAACATGTAATATGAGTATTTACGCACATGCTAAGAATACAGAGACAGCTCAAAAAAAAAAAAAAAACGAATTGCCGAATTTCTATTTTTCAGTTATTGTATGGTATCTAAATACATGACATTTGAGCAATTTTTGACCGGTATTACATAGAATAAATAACAACAATTCAAATATGGTAAATAAAACGCAACTCTTGATTCGTTAAAAGATGGCAGTACATTTGTGTAAACCTCCTTATTCATTTGCAGGTTTCAAGATGGAAATGATGAAGTGGATATTCGTTATCTCCGGGCTTTTTCTCTGCACAAACGGTAATAACTATATAATTAGTATAAAATGATTTATAATTATTCAGACAACTGTCACTGACTATTTGTCAAAACTTTGCTTCGAAAAGGGGCTGAATTGCATATAATACATTAACAATATTTACGGGTTATGCACGTGTTGTCATATTCAATCAAAATAGTTGCAACCCTAACTACCAGATGCAGAGAATAGAACCATAGTCTGTATAAAAAACCATTGTGTGTATAGAAAATACTATGTAGGTCGAGGTATAGCATCTTTGAGTTAAGCGTAAGCATTATCTGAAATCAGTTTAATTTTTATTTTAGGCAACTCATACAACTACTGTGAAGTGCTGGAAAGCTCTCTTCTATTTTACGAAGCGCAGCGTTCCGGGGTAATGACGGAAAAAACGAAGGAAAGACTTCCCTGGAAAAAAGACTCTGCAGTAAACGATGTCGGGCAGAACGGAGAGGACCTGTCAGGGGGCTATTATGACGGTATTTAACGTAGTCTCAGTTTTATTGCTTACAATCTACATAGGGCTAACTAACTATATGTATGTAGTCTGTATGTAGTCCTTCCGATGTTCACAATTGTCTTATACGTACCCAGATCAAGCCCAAACATTTCTCATAGTTTGATTCCAACTTAGACCTCTGTGTCAGAAACACTGTGGATATACGTTTGCAAGCAAACATATATAATATTTCATTTAAATCAATTAATCATTGTTCTCTCGTCTGTAAGAACACTCATCTTATATAGAAAAACAAAATGACTAAAAATGGTCTAAATGCCCATCGAACTTTCTCTTACTGTTTAAAATGATTTTGTGTTCATGATTTAAAACCTAATGTACACTGTATATGATGAAATCGAGGCTTGCAACCATCCATTATTCAAACAATATCCATTTTACACAATGTTTCTAGTAGAACCAGGGATATTATGTGGAAGCTGCGTCAAACATACAACAAGTCAGTCAGTATAAAAAGTTAAAAAGTTATGTAGGCATTACGCAATTTCAAGTACCCGTATTGGAATGCGCATGCTCATGGTATTATGAGCACAACGCCACATTCGACGAGGAGATAGTTTGCGAGCCGTAAGTGAGAAAGTACCGTGTTTTTATTTTCATCGATTGTAATATTATGTACACCATATGGATTATGGGTATTGTGACGTAATATAGTTAATTGCAACATTTGAGGTTACGACCGGATGAGTGACACATGTGCGAGTAGCCAAAACAACACTTGTGATACATTTGTAATACTAGTAACCCCGTGCCCCTCTAGTACGTGGTGTCGTAGGTCCTGGTCTTAGAACGTGCGCGCGCGTAATGGCACTGTGCACTGTGGCACTGGTACAATATATTACTGTGTGTTAAACCTCACCCGTATATCATATAGCATATAGCATGGCGCTGTAGGCTCATTAAAATGAGATGAGGTCGGTGTCATGTAAACAGTGTAACATATATGGGTTGTATTACGTCGCGTGGGACCCATATCGAACACGACTCAATTCGACGATCAAAGCATTTTAACGTTATGCAAACCTAAATTTACACCATTTTTCTTCAGGATTTTTGTATATTTTTTTTTCAAATTAACAATCACCTGCCATGTTGTGATCGTGATAGATATATTTATGGGGGACTATTTAGTGATTATTACACAACTAGCTGAGAACTAGATTGCCTAAAATGGCGGATTTGATGACATACTCAGACAAAACATGGCACCGGAACCATATTTCACCGCCATTGAATATAGCTATGTTCGCTGTCCGTTTGTTTTCCGTAAAACATGCCGATTTTTAACAGAATCCTTCAATAATGTCACATTTATTGTTGAATTTGACTTTCCTTTGCTAACAATTGTAATATTGTTTAGTCTGAAAGGCTCCAAGCCTTATGTTTCTGTAATGAAATGACATTTCATCTCATCAGTTCAAATCTAAAGTTGGTTTTAGAAAATATGGCATCGCAACGTGGCAGAGTATATATATTGAAGCATTTAAAAGGGAGGGGGTC